ATTCTAATTATATTTTAGATTTTTTATATTTAAAATGAGATGTTTATCCTGTATTTGATTGTGTTTATCTGCAGTTAGTTACACGAATTCAGATATGGAATGAAATTGTTTAGGGATGAACGAGTTTAAGAGTTTTTAAGAGTTTTAGCCAAATATTTTATAAGATAGTATAGATATATGTGAGAGTGTAAAGTTTTATAAGGAAAATAATAATAATTAATTAATTAAACTAATTGGATGTGTGGTGCTACGCGTTGGTGTAAAAGAAAAAGAGAAAATATGTTGATTGGAATCAAGTAGTAGCTATTCATTTTATGTGAGGTTTAAACCCAAGGTTAGGATTATTAATACAAAACCTATAAAAACTTTTCCTTTCATACTTATTGGATTTTTGGTTACGTGAGACCAAACACAACGACTTACATTTTATTTTTCTGGTGGAATATTAATTGGCCCTAACCTTTTTGGTACCACCTAATTTGTCATGAGTTGGGAGAAACCGATCGAAGGACAGGAGGGAAAAAGAGCAACGGTTTGAGGAGGCTCGTTTGCCAAATTGAGGTAAGTTCTGCCTTAGTCTAACTCATGCCATTAGTGGTTGGGTAATGAATTTTGGGTGGAGTCGAAGTCGTTTTAGTGGCTCGAAAGACTCTGATTCGGTCAATAGTAATGGCAGCAACATACGGTCCAAGGTTCAAATCCAAAAAAGAATAAAAATCCTCTTGTCGCTACGGAGGTTCAAATGCGGTGACTCCGGGCTATCTGCAAAGCAGGTGGTCGCCTTGGAATTAGTCGGCTCGCATAGTTGGTTGGATATTCAGGCTAATAAAAGAAACATATGGTCCATTAAAATCACATTTGGAACCCCCAAATTATGCTCTTTTCCCTCTCGAACTTTGTCCTAAAAGTTTCTTATCATTGGTATCTATTGTTGCTGTTGTTTATTGCCAAGAGAGGGTGTGAATCATCCAAAAAAGGATTGAAACGACTCGATTTTTGGTCGAGATCGTTGCTGTGTAAACCGTCGTTCGAGAGAGCGTGTTTTTTTTTGTTAGATTGTTGGTCTGCGTGGGTGGGGCTGCCTCAAATAGAAGCTTAATTGGGATGAATATATTCGTTAGGTGTCTTACGATTATAGATCCATATGTGTCTGTCTATATACACACACATGGTTTTGTTTCATGAACCCATGGGTCACTGTTTTCATGTTTAGGAGCTTTTCAAAAGTTCCTTTTTATTTCAATTATGTTGTTCCCATTTTTTAGATATACGATTTATAGGTTTTAGTTGGGTTTTAATTATTAGATATTGTTGATCGATTTTGGTTGATCGTCTTACATGATCAAAGTCAACGGTTATAATTAGTAGTGAGTTGGATGTCTGTTTAGGTCAGGTATAAAGGAGTAGACTTGAAAATTGATAAACTTGGTGAAGTTTAATATACGGATTCCTAAAGTTTTTTCGTTCGTTTAATTCGTTTAAATATGTTTATGAAACCGTAATTCGTTTAGTTCATGTTTATTTAAATTGTCCATTACCATGTACTATTCGCTCGAAAATTGCTCTATGATATGCAAGATGGCAGAGACTCCTCGTCCTAATCACGTTATTCATCAATCGTGTTGATAAAAACAAAACATATGTTTTCTCCAAAAAATTACGTTCAATGGTTCGGTAGCATTCTAGTATGATTTGGACGTCTAAATGTACATATGTTGGTACTTGTAATCGATTATATATTCTTTTCATGTGTCATCTTGATTGTTACAACTACTTGTTCGTTCAACGTTTTTCTTACGTTGCTTATGTTTGTTTATTCACTCGATTTCGATACGTTTCATTCTTAATTAAGACTATATGACGTTACATTCATCGTGACAAGTTAACTCCAGGGTAAGTCGAGCTACCAACCATCCATTTATCCAAAATCATTTATTCTCCCAAAACTCCCAACAACACACCAAAACCTACTATTTAAGGAAAGGCCACATTCATAATCAAAAGTACAAACACTACTCTCTTTTTTTTCCTTTTTCTTTTTTTCTCTTCCCACCAGTAATTATAATTTAAAAACATTTATTAATTTCAACCATCATCCACACTTGCTTCCTTCCCTAAGTCCTTCCACCACGTCCTTCCTTTGCACCTGCACCAGCACCAGCACCAGCACCACCACCAACATGAACTTGACCACCTACACTAATTTGACCACCTGCGCCACCATGAACTTGACCCTCCGGTCCCATTTCATGACCGACCTCCTTGATGCTCTGACCCACCTCCTTCGTCTTCTGTCCCGTATACTCTACCAGATCCTGCATCCGCCGCCTCGCAGAGTCGATCGAGTCCGGCACCGTCCCTGTCAACTGCCTCACAAAGTTCACCAAGAAAGACAACGAGCTCAGCCCCGTCAACCCAAAGGTGCCGGACGTCAGAAACCCTACCACCGCCATTCCGATGGTTAAGATCGCCGGCACGATAATCGGGCTGAAAAGGATGAAAAGTGGGGTGGCAACAGCCATCCCGATCAAGGTACCCACTAGGGTGATTCCGGCGAGACCAAGTAGACCTGCACCCACCGGAAGTAAGGCCACGACGGCCAGGATTTTCCCCTTTGACGGTGCTGGTGGATAAGGAACGAGGAGTGCCTTTTCGCCGGTGGGGTCGTATCGGCCGTGTTGGACGGTGTGGACTTGGACCTGGTGGGGAAGACGATCATGAGTAGTAGTAGTAGCCATGGATGAGATCAAGAAGTGAACGAATCTAGAGAGGAATGAGGATGATGATGAGTGGACGTGACGGTGATTATAAAGATGAAGGATGAATGCATGGTGATGACACGTATGTGATGAGATGGAAAGCAAAGGGCTTGCATGGAGCACAAGTTTCACGGCGTTCTTGGACTCTTGCGCGAAGGCCTTTTTTATTTAAAAAACGAGAAGAATTTAAGCGGAATTGAACGAAATGGTAAAAATAAAAATATTGCAATTTACGATGATAGCTAAAAACAAAAAAACTTATAATATAAATTTTTAATTAAAATTTAATACACACTAAAACGGGTATTTACCATCACACATTTTCTAAAGTTGATATGAAACTGAAATGATACAATTATATATATATATATATATATATATATATATAAAGCACATTAAAAATGTAATTTTAATTTATATTTAATGTAACTATTTGGTATTTTTCTCTTTTTTTTAATTAATAACATATATATTTATTTATTTATTACAGTCATAAATTAATAATTTGTTGTTTAATAAACATACTTCGCTCTTCTCCTCCAACAACAAACGTTTTTAACGCCTAACCACTATTAAAGCCGAACATAACTTGTATCAATTTCGTCTTCATCGACCATCATCAACACCGACTATTGTGGCAAATCAAAAATCGTCGGACATGTATACTTAAAGAACCCGTCAGCGTTGAACGTTTTAGAACCGATTTTACACTCCACCACGTAACTGTCGATGTGTTTCTGCAACGACCACATGACGTGGCTAGCAAATTCGACTTGCAACCGACATAGGGACGTTGAATCCATCGTGAGGTGTAACCGTCACGAGGACGTTGAATCCATGATACCGTCCCCATCATTGAACTCATCTCTAACCGGTCACGTTTTAGGGGCAATTATTTAAAAACATCAACTTTAGGGGTCTAATTACAAGAAAAAAAACTGAAAGCATGTGCATGTCTTCCAAAAATTGAATAAGATCACCAAAAACTTTGACCTCCTGATCTCCTTTTTAACGAGTCCCTGAGTTCTTCCCTAACCTTGTGATATCGTCTTCCCTGTTCTTCCTCATCAATTGTGTTTACCTAAATCTCCTCAAATTTGGATATTTATTCGAATCCAATTTTAAATATTGACTTTGTTCAGACACAAACCCGTACCTTCGATCGACCACCGTCGTCTCCTCCCCATCGTTCCGGCCGGCGGCTCGTCTTACCATTTCTGCTCATCACTACCGCTGTTTCTGGTCCGGACATTTGTTCTTAACATTCTGTTTTTCACTGGAATATAATTCAGGTACCATAAATCTTTAAATTGTTGATTCGTAAATCTAAAAATCCATCGTAGAAAAGAACCCTAAACGATTAAAAACCCTAGAGGAAGAAGGATGTTCTTTATTCATGTAAATTGAGTCGCTAACTCAAATAGAACGAGAATCTTATTGATCTTTTAGGACTCATAAGGCGCAAGAAACTTATTTTGCTGATTGCGCCAATCTGAAGCTAAATTGGAGATCAGAGATAGCCAAGTTATTTTTAATTGGTATGTTATATCCTATGTTAATCTGAATTCAGCCTTCACTTCTTTCTTTCTTTCCATTATTAAGTAATGCTTTAATTGTCTAATATAATAATTTAGTTCCTGATCACCGTAGAGAAGTCGTGGTTCAAATTTGACTTTCAATAAGGTTTGATGTTCTTAGATTCTGAATTCTAGCAGGGAGTAAGTGACTGTTATAATTAATTTATACTAAAATTTTGTGAAACAATGTGTGCAGATTTAAGTTGTTTTGTATAAAAGACCAACACCAAGAGTGTATATGGTAACTCAGTTTTATTTTTCCATGACCAAACACTCATAGAGCTGATGATTTTGACTCTTGATGTGTATGTTTTTTTTTTTTTTCAGGATATAAGGATGTGGTAGAATCGCATTAGATTTATCTACCATGGCAGGACTAGAGGAATTGAAAAAGAAACTCGTACCACTATTTGATGCGGAAAAGGGATTTTCTTCTGGATCAACCATGGATCCTTCGGATTCTTATATGGTACTTTTATATTTTGAGGTAAAATTTTGAAGTAGGTTACAGCAACTTACTGATTTGATATGTGCCTCTGTGAAGCTCTCAGATGGTGGGACGGTTAACTTGCTTAGTCGATCTTATGGAGTATACAACATTAACGAGCTTGGATTGCAAAAGTGTACATCAAGACCGGTGAATGATGTGGACCAAAGAGAAAGGACTTATAGGTGTGCTTCACATGAAATGAGAATATTTGGAGCCATAGGCAGTGGTGCAAGCAGTGTAGTCCAAAGAGCTATTCACATTCCCACTCACAGAATAATTGCGTTAAAAAAGATAAATATATTCGAAAAGGTGTGATATCCCTTTCTTTTTGTCACTTTAGTTGGAACGTAATAATTGGGCCTGATTGAACGTTGCTCCATCGGAAATTCTGTCTTCAGCCAAACTATATTCAAGTGCTTGAGATACTTAGTCATAAGTGTTGGTGCATTACCAAGCCATTCTGCTTGAATAGAACCTTTACATAATTAGTTCATGGCAGTGGACACATAGTTTGCAAGGATCTCCCTTAGTAAGAATGGTATTCATCAAGTGCTTAGCTTGGATTGTATACAGGTTGCAATACCTTGGTGAATGTTGTTTTGTATCCTCCTCCCGCTTTTCCATTTCAAACGAAGTAGCCATTAGTTAGTTATATCTACTTATTCCTAAACCCAAAGTGATTATAAATCTTAATTCCATGACTTTCGTCAACTTCAACATTCTGCTGTATCAGGAGAAAAGGCAACAGCTTCTTACCGAGATAAGAACATTGTGTGAGGCACCTTGTTATCAAGGTCTTGTGGAATTTTATGGAGCGTTCTACACTCCTGATTCTGGACAAATAAGCATTGCTCTAGAATACATGGATGGTGGTTCCCTAGCCGATATTATAAAACGACAAAGATGTATATCAGAAGCAGTCCTTTCCTTGATGGTCCAAAGACTATTGCAAGTAAATATGCTCGTTCTTTGTTTCATGGGTTTCTTTTATTATATTTCTTATTAATTAGTATTCTATTTGACTTTTTCAAATCTATTTATTCCTCAGGGACTAAGCTACTTGCATGGAGTTAGACACTTGGTCCATAGAGACATAAAGCCTGCAAATTTGCTTGTGAATCTCAAGGGAGAGCCAAAAATAACAGACTTTGGGATAAGTGCTGGCTTAGAGAATTCTATGGCGATGGTATGCCCTTTGTGGTCACTGTGTTCTTTTTCTTTCATTTTGTATCAACCATAATCTGAAAGCTGACGATGGTGAATAAATGTGGTTCTAATATCCCTAGATCCTTTTTTCAGTGTGCTACGTTTGTTGGAACGGTAACATACATGTCACCTGAACGAATCCGAAATGAAAGTTATTCATATCCAGCTGATATTTGGAGTCTTGGTCTTGCTCTATTTGAGTGTGGCACTGGGGAATTTCCATATACAGCAAATGAAGGACCTGTTAATCTTATGCTGCAGGTAACATCTGAATGTATTCTATGGCATTGTCTTCGTCACCGCTTAAAATAACTATAATTTGCACAGGTTGGCTCAAACCTCTTTTAACTATCTAGCTAAATTACCCTCGTGTATTATTTTGCACTCTTGTGTATGATGGTTATATCCTAAGGATAAGGATTAGTTGATGAACTGTCAAGCTTTAACTTCTATAGCTTTCATATGAAATACATCATCATATCAATTGTAATTTATTGATGAACAACACCTTTCTAGTTGTATATTCATGATTTTGTTATTATCAGATATCAGACAACCTTCTAATTGTATCAATAATATTGTTAAAGTGTTTTAACTATGCTACTAGTCTTTTCCTTAATTTATGTCAATAGATTTTCACTGTTTATCACATCTTAATAGATTCTGGATGATCCATCTCCATCACCGCCAAAAGACTTTTTTTCTCCAGAGTTCTGCTCATTCATTGAGGCTTGTCTACAGAAAGATGCTGATGCAAGACCAACAGCAGAGCAGGTAGGAAAAAAGAGGGTACTATATGCGGAAGTTATGCACCTGTCTAATTGTCACGCTTTGCATAAAAAAAGAGCCTTTCTAAATAAGCATCATTATTTACATTTCAGTAAATATTTTTCTTGTCTATGGAAGACTACTTGAAAAATCCTAGCAATTTCAAATGGTACTGCTCACAATTGTGTGCATATGTCCCATGTCAAACCGTTTGATTTGGTGAAAGGAAGCAATTAGAAAGATGAGAGTAGCAAAACTTTAGTGTCCGGAAGTCCTCTAGGAGGCATCCTTGATATGAGTCACTAGGTTATCAAGTGTTGCTCTATAGAAAAAGAAAATACCTAATGTAAGAAGAGCATATAGGTCCCAATCTACAAGAATGTGAGATTCGAACTCCAAGAATTATTTAATGATGAAAGAGTGATGGGTTATTGAGCATTGTCAAGTGTGGAGATTAAGGTATTGAGAATCTGTATGTTTTCAATTGGATTTTACCCTTTCATAATTTCCATTTGGGCTAATTTTTGTGTTACTTAGCCAGTTTAGGTAAAATGGAGTTTTATAAAAAAAGTGAACACTTGGTATTGAATGAAAGGAGAATAATTGTCAAACCAAAGTGGTTCTTATTTATGTAGACAGTGACCAAAGTAATCAGGGCTGATGTAGTGGATACAGAAATAAAAGGTGATTGCAAGTTTGCAGTTCTTAAGGTAGTTTTCTAACTACCAGCTACGTATGACATTGGGGGAAGGATTAAAGGAAAGAAAATTGTGGTTTCTGTATACCGATCAGATATGAGTCAATTCTTGAAACATCATTATTCAAGTAACTTATGGTTGATATACTTATGCAGCTTCTTTCACATCCATTTATCACAAAGTACGAGGATGCCAAAGTGGACTTAGCAGCATTTGTTCGTAGCATTTTTGATCCAACGCAGAGAATGAAAGATTTGGCAGATGTAAGTTTTTCTCTTTTAAGAGTGTTTCTTCAAATTCTGCATATGTATAACACATTAAAGATGATATCTGCAATGAACACTGGTTGGTCTCACCTCTTTACCTAATTAACAACAATTCAGGTGCTTCAACAAGTGTAGCTTCAATTTTCAAGATTCATACCTGCTATGCAATGAAATAAATAACACAGAACACGTCACCTTGGATTCTTGGGAGTCTTGCACTCAAGGTCTGATAAACAACATACAAAATATTTTAGTAGGGCATGTACAATGATACATGTAACATCCGAGGCTAACCGTATCAGATATTGGCTGCTTTGTCCACACACCTGGACTCACGGTTTCAAAAGCGTGTGATAGAGGAGGTATCAATCCCCTTGTAAGGCAACCTTTGTTACAATACAACACTCCAATGGTTTAGGGTCATGGATTTATAATGAAGACACAATTAATACACCTCAGAATTGTCAAAAAGGGTTGCTAGATGTGTTACATTTGCAACATCCAGAATCTAAGGAGAGAAACCATGATCATTAATGTTAGTTATTCTTGAAAGCATGATGTGGTTGGAGTCCAATTCATCCACCGCAAAAATATCGAAAAGGGGTAGCTAGAAAGATGTTCCTTTTGCAACATTCCGAATCCAAGAAGAGGAACTTGATCACCCCCCCCTATTTTTTAAAGCAAAGAAGGGAAGAAGAGACAAAGAACATGGAGGGCCCCACTTATCTAAGAAATGTGCTCTTTTTGTAACATGGATTTGTCAAATTCTTTATCTTTCTGTCTTCTTATGCACATTAATAATGTTAATCACTTGATGATTGGAATTTTCTTCTATTTTTCTCCATATTTACATTGTCTTCCGTTTTCGTTCCTTCAGATGCTAGCAGTACATTACTACTTACTTTTTGACGGGTCCGATGATCTTTGGCAATATGCAAAGACCTTCTACAACGAATGTTCAGCTTTCAGGTAGACTTGATTGAAACTGCTCTTTTCATTTGGATATACACAATCCATATTTCTAGGACAAATGAATTATACATCTTGCTTAACTATTTTCAGCTTCTCCGGGAAAGAATCTACTGGCCCTAATGATATTTTCACAACTCTATCAAACATTCGGAGTACATTAGCTGGGGAATGGCCTTCCGAAAAGCTGGTGCACGTTGTTGAGAAGCTACAGTGTAGAGCTCATGGTGAAGATGGAGTTGCAATTCGTGTGTCGGGATCCTTCATTGTTGGAAACCAATTCCTTATATGTGGAGATGGTATACAAGCAGAGGATGTGCCTGATTTTAAAGATCTTAATATCGACATACCTAGCAAACGAATGGGAACATTTCAAGAACAGTTTATTATGGAAGCTGGAAATGTCATCGGTCGATACTCCATCGCTAAGCAAGAGCTTTACATCATCCAATAGATCATTCCACTGTAAGCATACATCTTTCATCCTGACTCTCACTTTGAATCATAATGTCAAGGCCATGAACTCCGACTTTGTGAAGGGATTCATGCTAACAGATTGACATGGGTTTAACAGAAACAGTCGTTCTACTCTTTGAAGTAAATATATGCATCTTTATCTACATACATGCTGCTTTTGAGTGAGATATACTGTATCTGATTGGTTTGGTTTATTTCTGACTTTTTCTTGTGTATGTATAGTAATTCGATAGATAGCTACTAAAGAATTGCATTTTTGGATGCAAACACCATCGAAAGAAGAGTTTGAATTATGTGGAGCAAAATCAATTTCATAGTAGTTATTAATGATTAAAAAAGCTTAATGACTTGTTAGGTATCTTCAATTGGTAATGTTAAATGCAAGTTTGAATATCGTGTAAGATCGAGAAAAATTGAAGTAACCTTCCTATTTTATTAAGTTCATGTGTTATTATTTTTAAATGATTTAAGTTCCTGGATATTTCTATTTGAATCGAACTTTTAAAACTTGGTTGCTTACATCATTTTAACAAAAGAACTACTGGTTTCATACCTTAATCCATTCAAACCCTTGTGCACACAGACACCTTCCCCCCCCCCCCCTCTTAAGTCACTAGTTCCTTCATTGTTGTCTATTCTTCATACCACCCATCTCTTTTTGAATTGTTTTTTATTTGATTCTCCCATTTTTACAAACACTTTAACAGAGTAGGGACATCAAAAAATTAAAAAAACAATAAAAGATAAGGAGATCGATGGCAAGGGCCAACGACAATGACAAAGAGCGGATGACGATTAGGCAACAAAGGTTTTGAATAACATAGGGTTTGGGGGGAAATAGTTCAAAATAAGAAATTTCAATGGTTTTTTATTGAGAAAAGTTCATAAAAATCCAATGATCTATCCTATTTTGAATGATTAAGTATCTGAATTATTTTTTTAATGGAAAAATCATTGAATTTTTTATTTTCAATGATTAAGTCTTTGAACTATTTTTTTTTAATGAAAAACATTAAACTAATTCAAATCGAAGCACGCCATATTCTAGGATCCCAAACTATGTGATTGAATATCCAGCGATGGAACAAAAAATGATAAATTAAGTAATTGCCCCATAGATCCTATATCTATCTATATGAAAAAGGATAGATCACCCAGGTTCGGGTCCATAAGCAGTGGTAAAAAAATCATTTATTTCAAAGGTCAAATCTTTGATCATTCCATCATCTATGATTGAGTTGCAAAAACTTCTGGACAATTAGACATCCAACCCGTAATCGCAACGACCCAATTTAAGAGGGCCCATTCCTTTTTTTGCCTTCATAAGTAATCAACCGACTTTATCGAGAAAGATTACTCATTAATAACTTGATTATTTTTAGATAATACTAGATACCAAATATGAGCCTCCCATAGAAGATGAAAGAAGATAGACAAGAAATCAAAGAAATTTCGGGAGTTACGAAGGAAGCTTCGAGCAAATTCTCATTTTGAATAATTAAATCCCTGAACATTTTTTCCATAAAGTAAACCATCGAAAAAATTTATCATTTTGAATGATTAAGTCCTTGAACTTTTTAAAATTGGTTAGTTACATCATTTTAACAAAAAAAATTACATCGTAACCAACAAAAAAAGGTATCAAAGTAAAACTACTTGTAAGCCCATAAAAATAGATAAAAAAGAAGTAGATCGGTAGCAGGAATAACGGTGTGATAGCCAATATGAAGAACAGACAACTATGGGGATACAAGGAGTGGCGAGGGAGAGTGATACCATTGTCTGCGAGGGGTTTGAAGGGCGTAAGGTTTGGAAACAGTAAAACTGATTTAAGTTTCTTTTAACATTAAAACATATCTAGTTGGTTACAGGCACTTTTTTTGTTAAAATGATGTACGTAACCAAGTTTTTTAAGAAGTTTGATGGTTATTTATTACAACAAAAACGTTCAGGGACTTAATCATTCAAAACTAAATGGTTTTCCATTCAAAAAAACAATTAAGAACTTAATCATTCAAAATGAGAAAATTTAATAGTTTTATTTATTCAAACACTTAATCATTCAAAATAACATATTTAATTGTTTTTTTTTTAATTTTCCCTTTTTTTCTTTAACAAAGGTTACAGGCTTAATCATTCATTATATAAAAAAAAAGTTTGTTCAGTTGTTTTTACATTTCCGAGTAAAATTTTATGTAAACATTATTATTTATTTGCTATTGTATATGTAATTTTCTTGCAAGACTATGACATTGATTATTAATTTTTCTAGAAAAAACCATTAAATTTATTACAGTATCTTAACAGATATTTCAAAATAAAGAATCTAAATTTAAATTTTTAAAAAAATTATTAACTCCAACAACTTTTCCATTTTAGAGAGTATACATTTAATTATATTATTAAAATATTTCATATATTTAATACAAAATTATTTCTCTTTCATAATAATCATTTTTGGATTGTTTTTCAAATTTGAAAATTTTACATTTTCTCTTCTAATTTCTTCATTTTAGATAAAAAAAATTCAGAGCAGAAAATTATCCAAAACCTTCATTTTTTTTCTGCTAACAATTGAAAAGATAGATCTAAATATTGAGCCTCTTTATCTTTTTAGACCGACAAGTTGAATTTGAGCCTTTTTGGATAAATTGTTGGAAATGTTTTTTCAACAGATTTTTCAAAACCTTTTTTAAAATGCAAAAAATATGAGAGAGATGATGAAACATTCCAAATTTGGATAACTCTCTAAAATAATTACTTAGAAATTATTCAATGAAATTATTCAATTAAATAGTTAAAAGAGAAAAGTAATATTTTATAAAAAAATATTAAATATTTTAATAATATAATTTATATTCTAAAATAGAAATTTATAGTAATATCATTTTAATATTTAATTCTTTATTTAAAAAAACCTTTTAGAGATATTATTTAACTATAAATTATTCAATGAAATTATTCAATTAAATAGTTAAAAGAGAAAAGTAATATTTTATAAAAAAATATTAAATATTTTAATAATATAATTTATATTCTAAAATAGAAATTTATAGTAATATCATTTTAATATTTAATTCTTTATTTAAAAAAACCTTTTAGAGATATTATTTAACTATAAATTATTCAATGAAATTATAAATATAATAATCATAATCACTTTTCTTGAAGTACATAAAATATTATTTTCTAAAAATTAAATGAATATGATTTCTAATTTATTATAAATCCAATAATACAATAATGAAAAAGTGATTCGCCGAGGTGAAACGCACCTGTACATAGTGGTGGAATATTAAGGGCCCCCCCCCCTGCTTCCACCGTCGGCTAACTACCCACCGCCACCGCCATCGGTCCACCACCCAGTAAATACCAATCCCCCAAAAAGGGTAAAATTGGAAATTGAAAAAGCGCGGGAACGAGAGCCGTTGCCAAAATATTGGCGCCAAAACCCCCAAAATTCATCTCCACATTCCCTTTATTTATCTTTTGCCGCCTCCATTCAAAGCCCCTTAAACCCCTCTTTCTCCTTCCTCTATACTCTACCCATTTGGCCATTTCTGTTCAATATTGCTGCTAGTTGAATCACAACTTCCGATTGTTGAAATTGATTTTGATTCAGAAAGCTTCATTTGTCGATTTCTTGAGATGGGTTCTTCTAAAAAGTATCAAGTAGATGGGGATTTAATCGAAGGTAAGATATGGGTGATTGCTGGAATCACGATTTGTGCTCCTTTGAGGTCTATTTCGATGAAGAAAGTGAATGATGAAGACGATGAAAGCTCAAACTCTGGTTCAACGACGCCGACAGCAAAGGAATCAAGGTTGCCGGAGAAGTTTCCATGTCCGCCACCACCAAGGAAGCTTCGGCCGGTGTCAAGCTGTCAGAACAATGGAGATATCGTGTATTTTACTTCACCGGAGTTGGATTCTTTATTCGAACAATTCGCAAATGCTGAGAGAGCCAAATCCAGTTCTTAGAGTTTGTCGGTTGTTATTCAATCTTATTTTATGATTTTGATTTCAAAATTTGGGGTGGAAATAATTGGTTTGTAACCATGTACAGATTATGTATATGATCATTAATAAGATGTGAATATCATTTAATATTATGTTGCTAATATCGCTTTCATAACTACTGATATCTAAAATTTTAACATAGCTGTTGGAACAAAAAAAATTCAAAATAATTCGTCTACGATGAAATCAAAAGTCAAAAATATGTAATTCACTGCCCAAAGTTATAAATCATTTCATAATGATTTTGATATTCCATAAATAAAAATTTGTTTTATGTTTTTATAAACCAAGTTAAAATCTAAGAAGTAATAAAATTCTTTTTGTGGTTACGGAAGTTCAAATGTGGTGATTCTAGGCTATTTGCAAAACAGATGGTCGTTTTGGGATTAGTCGGCTCGCATAATGGGTTGAATATTCACGTTAATTAAAATAAATAAAGGGTATTACATACTTTATAGAATTTTGTTAATAGTTTGTTTCACATCTGGTCCTATGGTCTAGCGGTTAGGACATTGGACTCTGAATCCAGTAACCCGAGTTCAATTCTCGGTAGGACCTTTATATTTTTTACGCATAATTTCTTTATGATGGGCTTGGGCTTATGTCAACTCCAAATAAGGTCCATGTTTATGTTTGTTAATCAAAAAGTGTAATATTAACGCATTTTAAAATTGTGTCTTTTTTATTATGGACAATTATTATATATGGGACGGAAAGATTAATTCTCTGTATTCATAATTGATTTACATATCTTTGTAGTGTCTCAATTTATTTTTACGGTAGGACTACTTTTTATCTGGATATATCAAAAAATGTTAAGAAAAAGTGTCTTACGATGTTATATTTAATTTATAATTTCTTTAAAGATGTCCAAAAAATGAAACTTAGGTACTGTTTACCAAACGCTTACCCGAGTAAGCACTTACCAAGTCACTTTACTTTACCGGATGAATATGGCAAGGACTAGAAATCTTACCCGGTAAGAGCGAAAACAAGAATCGAGAGTCTTACCTGGTAAGTGAGGATGACGACTCTTACCATGGTTAGCGCTTACCTGGATAAATTGTTGCATACGATGCGTTTTAGTGAATAAAATCTTACCCAGTAAGTAACCGATAGTGTTGAATTTTACCGATAAAAGATTGCCGAATAAATGATTAGGTAAACAGACCTTGATTATTTCAAATGGTATTTATGATAACAGGTGATTGTTTTGGTTTGATTTGAGTTGGGTTGGACACATCCAATTGGAGAGTTTTGTTGTCGTATAACCAAAACTACAATAATTATTGCCTTTTTATTAAATATCTTTTGACTCTCAACTATTTTTTTCCTTGGATAAGGATTCCAATTATTTAATATAAGAATCTTGTCCTTCACAATTATTGATGTAATTGGAATTTCATAAAAATATCATTTATTTCACAACAAAATTATTTTTTTAAATTATCAATAATAATTTACCTAATTCATAACATTATTTTTAAGGGTTCTCTTTTCAAGAAAATCATAATTAAATAATAAGACTTGGATTTTTAAGATATTTTTTAAAGGTTATCGGTGTAAACCAACTGATGACTGATAAACTAGTTGATAGTTAATAAGTCAACTGATGAACATATTATTTTTGACAAAAGCAGCTGGTAAATATATAAAATAACTAAAAAATATATTTTAAAAAATTAATCAATTATAATATTTCAAAAGATAATTAAAACAAATATTTAATTATATAATATATTAACTAACATAAACAAGATGGTTAAAAAAATATGATATATTAATTAAAAGAATTTCAAACATCAGTTATAAGATAGTTTATATACATCAAAACATATATATATATATATATATAATTACCTTATAAAACAATCGCATTTAACCCTTATTTTTTAAGTTATTAAAAATAAAATAGAAATGAAATTTATTGAAAGATTCCCTACCACATGGTAGTGAGTGACAGGTTTTACGGTAATTTTAATTCAGTAATAAAAACTACACCATCCAATTCCAATCTGATTCTTCCACTTTTATTAAAATTTCACTCCCTCCAAAAATTAACTTTTCTGACAATATCTTCTCGACGCGTGTCCAAATTACCACTTTCATCCTCCAGTAAAAAAAAGTTAAGAATTTTATATATTCTCGTCATAATTTATTTGATTCTATATATATCTATAAAGCAGAATCATGATATGCTGACGTGGCATCTTCTCGACGTAGAGATCATATTTTACTCTTTTTTCCACATTTTGATTTTTTTTTTCTTAATAATTTTGTAAATTAATGTTCACATTTAACTCAAAACCCTTCCCCTTCTCTTGGTACGTTTCAACTCTATTTATGTGTACATTTAACTCAAAAAACCCTTCCCCTTCTCTTGGTACGTTTTAACTCTATTTATGTGTACATTTAACTCAAAAAACCCTTCCCCTTTTCTTGGTACGTTTCAACTCTATTTATGTGTTCTCCATCTCTATCTCCATGTACGAGTTATAAATTACTGGTACGCTCTTCGCTCTTCTTTTCCATCTCTCATCTAAAAACCACTTTTCCTCTTTTTTCCACGTTTTGATTTTTTTTTTCCTTAGTAATTTTGCAAATTAATGTTCACATTTAACTCAAAAACCCTTCCCTTCTCTTGGTATGTTTCAACTCTAACATTTAAAATCATTCAATCTTTGGTTTTTTCTCTAAATCCCTCAATCTTTAGGTTTTTTTCATTTATGTGTTCTTCATATCCATGTACGAGTTATAAACTATAGGTACGCTCTCTCCTCTTCTTTTCCATCTATCATCTATGGCAGAAGAGTATACACAAGTTTATCAATATATGTAACAAGACATTGGAATATGGATTAAAGAGAAGTCTAAGACATTGGAACATGGATTAAAGAGAAGTCTCCATTGAGGCTTTAGAATTTTGTGAGAATTTTGATTATTTTTCCTTTTGTTGTGGATTCACTTAATTTTTTTTTTTATTATGTTTTCTTATAGTTTCTTAATTTGTAATTTTGTAGGAAAAAAACACCAACAATAAGATACATTTTTAGGCATCGCAATACTAATTTTTAGAAAAAACACAAACTTTGTTTTTTATTGATGTAATTATTATTAAAACATTAAATTAATTAGACTATTCATTTTCATTGCTTACACCCAATATTTGTTTTTTTGATTCGTTTATCTCATATGACCCTATTTGTTATTTACATAACAATAATTGAACACACA